GGGGGAAACGTGGGGAAAACTCACCCCATTCCCGGGGGATTGCTGCTGTGTCTCTGGAGAGGCGCTGGGATTAAGGCATCCCCCATCCCCGGGGTGGCTCTGTGGGCGGGAGGGTTGAGTTGACCCCATTCCCACCCCTGCCGCTCCTCCAGACCATCCAGATCATGACGGGATTCCTGCACATCGGCTTCGGGATCGTCCTGACCACGCTCACTAATGTCTACACCTCCGTCTTCGTCATCGGAGAGATCCCCTTCCTGGGCGGCGTGTCGGTGCGTGCCGGGGGGCCGGGAAGGGATCCTGCCGGGAAGGGATGCCCACCGGGAAAGGATGCCTAGGGGGTAGGATGCCCACCAGGAAGGGAATGCCAGCAGGGAACAATGCCCCCGGGGAAGGGAATCCCACTGGGGAGGGATGCCAGCAGGTGGGGCACCCATTGGAAGGGATGCCCACCAGGAATGATGAACCTGCGGCTCCGGGGGGAAAACAAGGGCAGAAGAGGTTACCATGTCCCCTGTGCCCCATTAATGCCACCTCTGGGCAGGTTTTGGGGGGCTCAGGGTGCCCTTCGTGCCAGCTGAGCCCCCTCTCTCCTGCCACAGTTCATCATCTCCGGCTGCCTCTCCATCGGTGCTGAGAAGAGCCCCACGGAATGTGCAGTGAGTTTTCCCGGGAGGACACTGGGGTGGATCCTGTGGGGCAGATGGGGTGTCCCTCTGGGTTTTTGGGGAGTCTGCCACCGCCCCCCCAGCCACTTGGGTSCCCGCAGGTGAAGGGCAGCCAGACCATGAACGTCATTAGTGCCATCTTCGCACTCCTGGGAATTGTGGCCTTCATCGTGGACCTCAACCTCAACGGGCTATACCGCTCCASTTTCAACAACAGATATCTCGTCCTGGTAAAACCCCACTTGGCGGAATTCCGGCCCTTGGGAACCCCCCCAGGCCTGTTCTCCAGCCCTCCAGGGGTGTTGTGCCCTTTCCCTCATCCCTGTTGGGGTGGTGGTTTCTCCTCTGCCGGCGCGACCTATTTTAGGCTGGTACCTCGGGAGATGACTCATCCGTGAGCCATAAAAACATTGGGATGGAGGGCTTGGAGTGAGACCTTGGAGCCACGGATGCACGGGAGAGGAAGGGGGAGCCCTGAAATGTGGGCTGGGGGCTGCCCTGTGTGGGATTCTCCCTCCTGGGTGCTGCCAGGGGGGTACTGATGGGATTTTCCCCGTCCTGGAGCTCGCAGGGAATGGGATTTCCATCGTGCTGCTCATCTTCACCATCCTGGAATTCTGCATCGCTGTGGCCACTGCCAATTTCTGGTGCCGGGCCACTCGCCTCAGCTCCAACGAGGTAGGATTGGGGGACTGGCAGGGATGGATCCCAAAAAAAACTGTGTTCCATGATCCTGCTGACTGCCATGATCCCGGTGTTTCCCAGGCCATGCTCATTGTCCCCAGCGCCACCCGTGTGGATCTGACTGTGCCACCGGCGGAGCTGCCTCAGCCTCCCAGCTACACCGAGGTGATCCCAGGAATTTCGGGATCGGGAGCATCCAGCTCCCATCCCACTGCCTTCCCTGGGAAAACATTCCACCCCAATCCCCAGGGAGCATCCCGGMGCATCCACCCCTCTGCTCCGGGAATGGGGAGCAGATTCCAAAACCCCATGGGTGGTGGGTGCTGGGGAAGGGGGGGATCCCCCCAAATCCTGCCCCCTTTCCAAAACACCCTTTCCTGTCTCTTTGCAGCTGGCTGCTCCYGAAGTCTGACACCGAGGATGTCGGAATTGGATCCTGCCTCCATCGCTCCCAAATCCCAGGGCTACAGCATCCTCCTCCCACCGCACTTCTGGCTGGGATGTGCTAGTCCCCCTCAAAAAACCAGGGACACCCCCAAATCCCCTGCCCCTGTGGCCCTGGGCCTGATCTGAGGGGCTCCACTTGTTGGAGCTGTGAGAAGGGGCTTCTCCACGGAGGAATCGTGGGCAATTCCTGCCTGTAAATCCCCAGTGGGATGCTGGGGTTTGTTCTCGTYGGGGTTCAGGAATTCCTGGGGGTCTGGTGGCTTGGAGTGACCCCGATGTGTGCCAGGAGCTGGGCAGGTCACCGGAGCATCTACCTCGGCTCGTCCCCTGTTGTCTTTATTTTATCTTGGGAATAAATGCTCTCTCCGGGCTTGTGTCTCCTGAATTTGGGAATTTTTAGTGTGGGAGCTACAATTTCCCCTCACAGAGCTGCTGTCCGTCAGGAAAGGGGCTCATCCTGCCAGATTTAGGGATACCTGCTCTGTCCTGAGGGAATTTTGCCCCCCTAAACCCCTCTCCTGAGAGAATTCCATCCTTTTGAACCCTGCTTCCTGATTCTGAGGGGATTCTGCCTCCCTAAACCCCTCTCCTGAGAGAATTCCATCCTTTTTAATCCTGCTTCCTGATTCTGAGGGGATTCTGCCCCCCTAAACCCCTCTCCTGAGAGAATTCTATCCTTTTGAACCTTGGTTCCTGCTTCTGAGGGGATTCTGTCCCCCTAAACCCCTCTCCTGAGAGAATTCCATTCTTTTGAACCCTGGTTCCTGATTCTGAGGGGATTCTGCCCCCCTAAACCCCTCAGTACCCGCTCATTTTAGGTAATTCTGCCCCTCTAATCCCATTTTCTGCTGTAATTCCACCCTCTAAACCAGGGTACTTGCTCTCCCGCGGGAATTCTGCTCCCCAAACCCCCCCTCTCCCGTTCCAGCGTGGCTCAGCTATATTTAGCTCAGCCGGAGCAGCCGGACAGCCGGTGGCGGTGCCGGTGACGCCAGCACATCCCGGTTCTTCCACCACCGGGAGAAGCTGCCCCGGGGCTGGGGCTGCTCCAAGGGGTGACACGGGGACACAGGTGCCGTGTGCTCCCTGTCCCCACAATCCTGTGTGGGGAAAATGGAGCTGAGGGAGCTCCGTTTGCTCCCAAACCTTATCCATGCGGCAATTCCTAAAAAATACTTCGTTTTCAGGAAAGGCAAAGGGCTCTGAGATAGTTTTGAAGCAGACCGGGTTTGTCAGCTACTGACAAGCTCATTACGGGTCCATCCATGATTATCCCGCATCCATGGGAAGGTTGGAGGATGTAATGAGGTGATGGTGAGCATCCAGTGGCATCAAATTATTTAAGGAGCATCCCAAGCTCATGGAGATGGGAAGATGGGATGGAGGTGAGGAAGGAGACCCCRGTGCTGACTTTCCAAGAGGTGGGAGCATCCTAGTGATCTCCCTGTGGGGGGGATCCCCTTAATTTTTGGAGATAGGATCCATCCCAAATTTCCCCTACAGTGCCAGAGTGGGATCAKTGACCTCCTCCTTGAACATTCCCTTTGCTTTTGGGGTGACTTAAGTGTTTTCCTTCTTTCCACACGGCCTGACAGTGCTCCGGCTGCTCAGCCAAAGCCTCATGGATTATTCACTCCCTGTCAGTTATTTCTGTTCCCAGCTCTGAAAAAATAATGAGCCTGATCAGTAGGAAAAGCCCCAGGGATTTKGGGAGTAGGATGAACAGGCTGTCTCTGCTCATCCTGTGGTCACAACCCATTACGGCTCCTGCTCCTCACCTGTGGCTCCRGAGCATTCTGACTTCTCCCAGCTCCATGGGGACCACCACAAAGTCAACCCCCCTCCCATCCAAGTTTTGTATTTTCCCTGTGTGGGAGGCTTCCTCCCCCTCCACGGCATGAGGGTCTATTTTCCCAGACTATCCCAGTGTTTAGGTCCAGCTTTCCCTGAAAACRCTGGGATAAACGTTTAAGACTCTATGGAAATGTGGGATTTTTTAATATATCCTTATTTTTAGGTGGGAATTTTCAGTTCTGGGGGAAAGTGGGGAYTTCCAGGAGCTGGGAACAGCAGATGACACGGTTTTGTGTCCCTGCTGGTGATGATTCCTAAGGAAAACCAAAACCCTTGGGGGATTTCATGAGGGGAATTGTGAGATGGACTGGGATGTCCCAAYGGCTCTTCCCCCCTGGGAGACCTTGGAGACATTTTCAGCAGCTAAAGGTGCTCTAAGAGAGCTGGAGAGGGACTTTGGAAAAGGGCYCAGAGTGACAGGACAAKGGGGRWTKGSYTYCC